GTTTTTTTTTTTTTTTTTTTTTTTTTTTTTTTAAACCGTATTTTTTCGTTTAAAGATTTTTCCGACCAGGCGGTTTCAGGCGTATATATATACACAGGTATATAGTTTTATTCGTCAAATGTCCAATTTCGTCAACACTCGCTTACGTGCGTTTATACAACATGTGCATGTAATTACGGTGATCCGCCGCCGTTGTCGTCCAACGGCCGCAGCGTGTTTCCCGTAGTCCGTCGCATTAAAAACCGTACGTTTTACCGCCGTCGTTGGATATCACCCCGGCGCGTTTTCCCGCGGTACGTCAACCGCGCCTGCAAACGAATTGCGCGTAACGCGACGCTCGTGTATGGGATACAACGCGACATTGCGTTATGGTACTCCGGTCGACTAGCGAATAACAGCGCGGTTTCGGATCCGGCGGAATTATACGGCCGTGTGTGTGTGTGTGACGTCGACGCGCGTGTAACGTGTATGCTTGCCCGGGGCGAAAGTTCCGTCCGGGGCCCCGCCATTGTTGTTTGTCCGGAGCCAGCGCGCGCGAAAGGTCGTCGCGTGACAAAATGCGCGTCGAGGTTAAGTGCGCCGAACGGGCGGATTGTTCTCGCGTTGAGAAAACCGGTTGACAACGAGGGCGACGGAGTCGCAACGCTCGCGTCGTTGCAACGCCATTATCACGGTTACAATAACGCGGACGGACGTGCGCGCGCGTGTTGTTGTGATTTTCGGGCGGTACTTTTCTACGCTTATAAAAAAAAAAAAACCATCGGCACGTACGCCTCCCGCGCGCACTTACCGGGAACTCGTTCCCGCGGCCGTGTAATTTGTGCGCGCGCGCGCGTACGGATATTTATCATAATCCCCGGGTCCCTATGTCGGGTCACACACGACACCTCCGGTTTCGGCGGCGGTACACATCGGGTACGTGTAAAGGCGTGCGTAACGGGTACGGGGGGGTGGAGCGGTTAAACCTGTGCGCGAGTGTGCTCACGCATGGGGGCGGCGGTTTTTCCGTTCTTCTCCTCTCGGCGGCGTGCGCGGCATCCGAGCGCTCCTTAACCTACAGCCCGTCACGCGATCGTCGAGCCCGCGCGACGCGAGATTTGATTTTCGAAAAATATTACCGCGCGTTTCATTCGCGGTCACGTCGCGCGACTGAATGCAGTTTTGTGTATCGTACACCAGTGTACACGTACGTGCACGCGCGCGTGCGTATAGGTACGCGCGTACGGTTTACCTTTATTTCCACACCCTTTTCCTCTCTCTCCACCCCCCGGGGCAACGTCTCTTTGTATTACTCCGTTTTTATAGATACCGAGCGAGGCACCGGGTGCTGCGGCTCCGTCGCATCATCACGTATCGGTTTCTCGAGGAATTCGACATTTTTTTTCTCTCATTTCGGTTGGTAAAAAAAAATAAAATAAAATGGAGATTCGATTTCCTGTGTTTTTTAAAATCTAAAATAATCCGACGTTCGACGGGATATTGTTGTAAATTCGTAATCCGGAGAAACTCTCCCCCCCCCCCGTAAAAACGCTGCAGTGTAGTAGTACGTGTAGTACGGTAATAATATTCCTCCTCTGGAAACTATCGCGGCCGAATTCGATTTACGTGTTTGCGTGCATTATATTTTTGTGTTATTTCGTCTCGGTTTTACGGCGGGGAAACGAAAAATCTCCTTGTACAATTATTACTGTAGCGGTGGAATTTATTTACGACAGTGTCACGTGTACATTGTATAATATTATATTCGATTTTATACTGGACGCAGTGTTGTATTTCGGTATATTGGTATTTTTTTTTTTTTATTAGAATTTTATAATATGAAATTGTCTACTACACGGACGGCGGTAAAACAAATATAATCGAGAAGAAAACGACTTGGCTTGAATCATATAAATTATTAATGCGGGACACTTAAATATATTATACATCGGTAGAATAAAACTATTGCGTTACTTACGTATGATTTTTTTTTTTTTTTTTTTTTACGATTAATCCCGGAAACCTGTGTACGCGGCGAGAACGTAATTTTTTTTTTTTATATATAGAATGTCGTTCGAGTGCGCGATACAGAGTGTTTCACGCGCGGCGTAACATTTGTTATTTTTATCACGATCTCATTTCAAAACGATAACTTCGTGTAAACGGATATTTTGCAGAAAAAAAAAAACCCCTCGTTTAATGCAGGTTGTCCAGCGCCCCACGATTATTTGTTCACCGAACCGCGCGCAACACGGCAAATTTGCATTAGTCAAACCTGTGTTGTTGACGCGAGTATTAAAACGTGAAATGAATTGACTTAAGGATTGCGTTGGTTTTTTATTATTATTATTATTATTTTTTTTTTACGATATTTCAATTTTAAAACGAAATCCGAGCGCTTTTGAGTAGTAGTGTTTTTACGTACTGTCGCGTTAAAATTGAACCGGTTAAAAAAAAAAAAAAACGGACGTAGGCATACCGGCGATGTTTTTCGCCGTATATCGAACTTGATAATGTAACGGGTCAATTATTCGCGCACGCTTATCGTATTAAATGTAGCCAACGGCGCGGGTTCGGTACTGCCGAACGTTCGTTTGCCGTGTTAGGTCGTCGGTGACGGTGGGAAAACGAACAGCGCGCCGGGGCATGGTCGTCGTTATTTAAACACATTGGATTTCCCGGTCTCCGGTTCCGCGTTTCGATTATCCCGCGTTTTCCTCCCGCGCGGGATTCGACGGACGGATGCCGTTTGTTTTTGTGTACGGGGCGTTCGCGGCGACTACAACGCAGTTTCGACGTTTTACGTCGTTATTTTGCGTTTATAGAGGGAAAAAAAAAAAATCAAAAACAACACGCGCAGAGACAGGCACCCGCCGAAATTACAATATCGTATTTTTACGGCCGGCGAAGGACGAACGGTATGTTTACTGTACGCCGGAGTTTTACAAATTTTTTTTTTCTTTTGTTTCGCTCGCCGGTTTACCGGGAGGCGCGTCGATAGGAAAAACGCGTTTATAATAAACGCGCGTGTATATCGAATCGATATTTGAGGTTAGATTCTATGGCCGATCCCGCGTTTTGAATTCGCCGAACGGGCAAATGCACACCCGCAGCGGACAACCCGCGCCGACGTTAGTTAATATTCAACGAGCAAATATCGCGGGGAACGTCCGGATAGTAAAAAAAAAAAAAAAAATATTAATAATTCGTTCGGGTGTCGCGGGGGAAAAAAAAAAAATAACCGTACGGCAAAACCGGTGTTCTCGTCTTGTGTTACGGACGTCTATCGGATTATTATTATTTTCGGACGGGTTTTTAAAAATCGCATTCGCCGTTTCGAACGTGTACTCTTCGACCACGCGGCAAACATAAGTATTTCTCGATTTCGACCCGACTACAATGTGCTACTGTATCGTTACGGGAAAATTCGCCCGAACAAAACGCGGCGGAGAACGTATACGAACGTGTTAGTTTGAATTCCGTACGGTCCGTACGGGACGCATCTAGGCGAAACGCCGTTAAAACAATACGATAATATGCCTTTATATTTCGTTACGACGGGAACGTTTGTTTTATAATTTTAGTTTCCGCGTAAAACAATAAGCTAGGGAGCGATTATACCATAGTTTTGCGCCGTTGTTGTAGTATTATGTGCGCATAGTGTTGTCTGGAGGAAAGGGGGGGGGGAAAACGAAACACTTCAGGGGCCTGCAGCGTAATATTATTATGACGTCTGTAGCGGACGCGATCGAAAATTTCGTATCTATGCGAACATTTTTTTTCCTCCTCCTCCTCCTTCTTCTTGCGTATACATACATAATACAAGTGTGGTAGGTACAGTAGTCGAACGTATAAACGGCACTTCGGAGGAGTCGTTTTTGGAATATTTCCCGCGTACCCTCGGCGCCGCGGTTCGTTATTGTTGTTTTAGCTCGTTTTGCCGTAAAAAAAAAAAAAAAAAAAAAAAAAAAA